TCTTGAGGTACAAATAATTCGCTTGAAACCCAGGTTGTAAAACAGCATCTTCTCGCAAAAAAAATAATGCAAAATACATGTAGTCAAAATGATATTTTCTACATTTCCGGGTTTGGAATTTAATTTTCTTATATATATATATATATATATATATATATATATTTATATATATATATATATATATATATATATAATATATATATATATATATGCGAAACTTTTGAGCCAAAATTCCCAAAGCTTTTTCTACAACACGACGAAAACGACATAGCCGGTAATTGAAAAGTCGTTTCTTGCTATCGTTATTGGCTTGCGATTCTGGGTATGGTCTCATAAGATTTATTTTCAAAGGAAAAGAAAAATCACCAGTTATTACGTACGGTGCCATAATAGCTGTTCCAGGAAATACTGTTTCTTCAGGAATATGAATTGTTCCCTGCTCTAGAGCTGTTCCCAGCTTTGAGCTAGCACATATTCCTCCATCACTATTCTTACCATAAGAACCTATGTGTACTGCAATGAACTTGTAATGTGCGTCCACTAGTCCTAGTAGCACGCCCGAAAAGGTACGTTTATAATTAAAAAAATGTGATTCACTATTTGCAGGTGCTACAATTTTCACATGTTTACCATCAAACGCTCCCAGACAATTGGGAAAATTCCACAAATTCCAAAACTTGTTTGCTATTTCTTTCCAGCGTGCTTCTGTCGGTATTGGCATACATTCTTGTAGTAGTTTTTTTATAATGCTTTTACATACTTCTGTCTCTATTTATTGTGTGGTAGAGTGGCCAAGACGGTAAGTAATTGCAATGGTTCTGAAGGAATCTCCTATTGACAAAAATCTAAAACAAAATTGTATAAAAAATATTTTTTTGAGGCATACAGACAATTTTTTGTTAAAACGTTTATGCCTCCAGTGGGATTTAAACCCTCGACCTTTGTATATCAAGTGTAATGCTGTAACTAACCGCACTATCGAAGACATGAGTATATTTCAGCCACTCGAGCAAAAGTTTGGTTAGTTTTGTTACTATATACGATATATGTATATACTTGTACTCGATAAGCAAAGGCCGTGAGTTTGAATTCCCCTTGATGTAAAAACTTTTTTATTTAAAAAACCTTGCAACACAATAAACAAAATAAGTGTACTAATATTTTTCATTTATTTTAGCAGAGGAATGTAAACAAAGATGGGAATCGTTGCGCTCTCAATATCGAAAAAAATCCAAGCTCCGTGAAACAAAAACGGGTCAAGCTGCGACTAAAAGAAAGAAATGGAGGTATGAAGAGGAACTGGCATTTTTGTTACCACATATAAGAGACAAGAAACGCGTATCTACAATAATCGATATTGCAGAGAACACCTCTAATAATAATGAGGAAGCTTTATCGATACAAGACGAAAATGAAGGAGAAAATGGGGAAGCAGAACAGAGTACCTTACAATTTTTTTTCTACTACGCCAGTTTTAGTACTAAACATTTCGTCAGGCATTAAAAACAAAAAGTTGACACAGGAAAAAGCTCGATCTTCAACAGAAAGCGCAAGTGCAGCACTAATGCAATATATTCTCAGTAAAAAAGAAGAAGAACATGCAGAGCAACAAAACACAAAGAAGGACCACATAGATTTGTTTCTCGACAGTATTGAAGCAACAGATATTGAAAACAAATACATTGTTGCTAATAACGTTAATGCACAACCGTATCAACAACAACACTTTTCGTCTCACCCGCTTCCTGGTTCTGGAACTTTCCGCAATTCTGGCTTTAGTGACCAAATGGATGAAGCTGCTCTGCTGCATACACCTCCTCAAGTTTTCTCGACACCTACACCTATCCAATCAAGACTCCTTCCACCGCATCATCATATTATGAACATTTTTCACCAAACGGTAGTTTTTAATTTTTTTTTGTTAATTTGTTTAATACTTACTTTTATATTAAGATGAAAACATTTATATTTGTTTTGTATACTGTGTACTTTTAAGTTGTAATTTTTTTGCAAATACTTTCTTTTTTTTTTTTTAATAAAAAATCACTAGTACTTATATGGTACAGTTTTTACTAACCTTAAGCATACAGCTAACTTCTCTACAGGATTAGTAGCCTCCCTAAAGGTGGTATTCTGTTTTCTCAAGTCGGCCGAAATTTTATTCAAAATGTAATAAAATTTATGTTTTGTCATTCGAAAGTACTGAAAAAAATTAGTTTCATCGTCACAGAGACCTTTATATAGAGTAAAAAACTAATCTTCTGTTTTCCTTGTTTTTAAAATATTGTGCACCCATATTCTTGGCTGTTTATTGGTTGACTGAAGCTCTTCTTCATCCAAACATAAAGTAATGACAGCCAAATCACTGTTAGAAAATTTTTTAAACATGTTAAACAAATTTATATATGCAAAGAACTGTGCCTATTCTCTGAGGCCTGCCAAATTGAATAGTATACCGAAATTCTTGATCGTGAGCGGAGCGTCAGCTGAGCGCCTACTGTGAATAGTGTACACAATTCTTGATCGTGAGAGGAACTTGAGCGGAGCGTGACCTGAACGCCTAATGTGAATCGGCCTTAAACACCAGTGCACATTCATCTACGACGATTACGTCTAGAGATGATTTTCAACTCTACACTGGCATTATTTTTAACGATTTATAATAAGCTCCAGACGTTGGGGACACTTACAGGAATTTAAATTAATATTAAAATGAAAATTTCTAGATTTCTAACGGAGTTTACTGAGGTTACCTACAATCAATTAGGTTATGTACAAAATGTCAAAAAAAAAGGATAATACTGATTGTCATATTTATCTATTATTTATAATATGTTATATAACAAGAAATATCAGACCATTTTGAAATAATAATTTTAGTTATTGTTAACTTTATTTAAAATAATAATATGACAATTAGCTAATCCATAAAACTTATAATTTTATTTATTTATAATTTTAACTTGTCATGAAAGCAAAATTTTTTTATTATTGAAAAATGTCATTTTTACGGACGACCATGGAACACAACAAAATGGACAAGTCTTGGAAAGTTGGATAACTGATTCGGCCTTCGGATTATCCTGGATGCAACAAACACGGCACAAACAAATCAGTGATTAATTTCTTAACAAAAATGGCCAATTACCATTTTGAGCTCAAATTCACCTTTCAAATTGAAAAAAATTGCAGGTTTTGAAGATTACACCCGAAAGCTATCTCGTCCAAATACAGAATCCTCAACTTAACTTAAACTCCTCACTACAACTATTGAGTTCCGATGACAAAAAACGAATAACGAAAAACCATTATTTTTTATTTAAATTAAAAAAAAATTTAAAAATTTAAAAATTCCGAATTTTAAAAAAATCGGACTAAACAATGGTTGCGTTCTCCGCTTTCAACCGATTGCCCAGCGCTTAATGCTAAGAATTGAAGTTTGGTGACTGACGTTTGACAGTTGTGCTTGTTGCTTTGTTTTTGTTTTTATTTATAACAAATTTAAGGCTGAATAAAATGGCGACCATTTATCAGCCGCTTGGAGTTATATGTATGATCAGCACATCGTTCACAGAATCGATTATAAGCGCTTGCAAGCTGCTTTTAAGCGATTGAGTCTGGTAAAAGCAACCAATGACTTGAATCCTATCGTGTTCATTTGCAGAGTGACATCATTCTTAAAAATCGTTCGCCTCCCCGCATAACTTCTCACCAATCTAAGTGGATATTTATTTGACGCGCAATATTAAGCGGCATAAACATCAAAGAAATACCATCTGTGTTATATAAACAAACTTAAAATTATTATACTAAAAGATTAAATTTATTTATATTAAATTTAAATTATATAAAAAGATTAAAAATATTTTTCGGTGTTTTAATACATACGAAATGAAAATAGAAATGCTACAATATAAACCGGACAAGTTGTTTTGTTCATTTGCCAACAAATAGCAATTTGGACATATCAACTTTTGACATAACTCCTCAGTAATAATTATAGTTACAATTTTGAATGTTTGACCAACATTTATAAATCGTTGGACTTAAAACCTACTCTTAAGAAAACGCTCAACAACTCTTCAGAGATCATGAAAACCATACTGTTTTTATAAACCACTCAGCACTACCACAAAGTTTAATCTAATAGACATTAGTTAGAATTTTATAATTATTATTTGGTTTCGTTATTTGATATATATCTAATATTAGCGTTTCTTTAGCAATTACCATAGTTGTTGAATTATTTTATGTAAATAAATAAAAAATATTGTGAAATATTAAAATTGTAAATTCATTTGTTATGTATGTAGGTAGATATATGTAGGTACTTGTACTCGATAAGCAAAGGCAGTGAGTTTGAATTCCCCTTGATGTAAAAACTTTTTATTTAAAAAACCTTGCAACACAATAAACAAAATAAGTGTACTAATATTTTTCATTTATTTTAGCAGAGGAATGTAAATTCATTTGTTAGTTTAATTTTAAAATCAATTTATTTTACTTAATTTATTGTTATTTTAAATAAAAACAAGAAAAATATTGATACGAAAATTTATATTGAAAAATAAGTATATTATCTGCTAATAATTACTAGAACATTCTAATGACAACTAGGTAACTTTTATTTTAAATGCAACACATCCCACTCGAAAAAATTGTTCTCTATGTGTTCCACTATTAAACATTTTCACAAATCAGGGGAGAAACTTAACAAGCACCTAAATATAATTTTTTAACATAGAATAGATCAACTTATATAAATGTAAAATGTATATCTAAAAATTTAACGTTAACTAAAATAAAATTATAACGTTAAAATTACTCTAGAATAAAAATATAATGTTACACCAGATTGGAAATAGAAACGTTAAAAACAAAAGTGCTAAATTTAGTTCTAATTACAATGAATTGTAGTTTAATCCCACACAAATATATTTAACTACAATGTGCCACAAGAAAATAGTTTTCCGAATCTATTTAAATATTATCATACTAACCTTTTCGACAGGCCCAGTGAATCGGTCGGGGTCCTTGGGTGCCGAGACAAGGAAGATCTATTGGGGCACCTTTATCGACAATATAACGCATAATTTCAACGTTACCATCAAGAGCTGCCCAATGGGCAGGCGTATACCCCCATTCGTCTCTTGCTCGCAGAACTTCGCAACCTGATTTTTCGACATACTCCACTATCTCTGACAGCTCACTAGAAGAGAAAAAGGTGGTCCTGTTATATTATAATCTGAAGCATAGAGTAAATAAAACCACAAGGAAAATAAATTTCCTGTAGTCGGCTGTAGGATAATTTTACGTCAAATATGCAATGTGGTCGGTCGATCCCTTTTGATTTGTCTTAAATTTTACGGCATATTCTATACTACAAAATATAATAATTTACCAAATTTCAACCCTGTAGATCCAAAATGTCTGTCTATACCTATCTTATGTAATTCAATTAAAAAAAAATGTATCCGTATTTTATCACTTTGTCCTACATAGCGGGCTCTAGATGCTCAAAAAAAATATCTAAAAATACAAATTTGATGTAAAATTTTCTGCTGAATACGTTTCTGGTGAAGTTAGCCTAGCTATCAAGGAAAATTTGGAAAATATTAAAAATCCTCTTTTTCTTAAAATATCATTTTAAAAACATATATTTTTTTCTAAGAAAACTATTAAAAGGTATATACTTTAAAGTAAAAATAAGCACAGCTTTTATCTCAGAGGATCAAATGGTATTACATTCACTTGAATTGCCAAATTCCCAATTTATTCAGAAATATTATGTCTTTTTTGACAGTTTTCTGCAATTTATTATTATTTTTTAACTAAAATGTCATTCTGAATACAGATTTAGATTCCCTACAAAATTTTACAGACAAGTATTTTATATGGTTTTTCAGCAATTAATTAGATGTCTTCATTCAGTCTTGCAATTTTCATAATAAATTGTAATTTATTAGCTGTAACTTACTACACCTATAAAATAATACAAAATTAATTACTAAAACTCTATATTTATTTAATCTTTTCCCTAAAATATTAATTTACATGCAAGATTTAAGTATGCGTAATGAAAAAAGGCAAAAAATAATAAAAAAGAGTTATTAATATGTTCTAAATTTTAATTTATTATTTTCAGAAATTGCTAAATAGTATGTGACTCTTTTATATATAGTGAATAACATTTTTTGTTATTGCTTGAAAAATAAGTATTAATGACAAAGATTAATTGCGAGTAGAAAAATTTTATATATCGCACTCAATGACGCACTGTTCCACTGCGCATGATTTAGCTATTTAAGAATGGTCGCTTCATTTAGTCCCCTCAGATTTGTAGTTGAAAAACGTGTAGTTATAAGACGTGTAGTATGATATGATATGTTTTATCGAATAGTTTATAGATTGTTTTAATTGTTTATAAAAATTTTCAAACAATTTTGTCTCGATTGATAGACAAGTTTTATTTAAACATAGCATAGCATAAAAGAAAGCATAGCCATCAATAATGCATTTTCATGATTAGAGCCCTGTCTTTAAAAAATATAGCCTGAAATGTCGGTTTCGAGTAGTGGCAACAAATTTGAGGCATTTGAAATATGCCTAAAAACTATTGGGATCACAACTAGTTCTTTTTCTTAATGTGCCTATCCGTTACGAATGTTGGCGATCATCATGGCAATCTTTATCTTATCTGCAGCAGCGCGGAAAAGCTGCATAGATGTTGTATTTAACCAGATTCTGAGGTTCTTCAACCAAGATGTACTTCTTCTTCCTGGACCTCGCTTTCCAAATTTTTTCCTTGCAGGATGGCTTGAAGGAGAGCATATCTGGATTCATTTTGCATAATATGTCCGAAGAATTGTAACTTTCGAGATTTAATGGTGGTCAGTACCTCTCGGTTCTTATTCATTCTTCTAAGGACCTCCTCATTTGTGACTCGGTCAGTCCACGGGATCTTAAGTATTCTCCGATATAGCCACATCTCAAATGCTTCCAGTTTTTTGCTCATATCGTTCATATCGTTCAAGGTCCACGATTCACTAGTATTACTAAGTTATATCATCTAAAGTAAGTATGTTAGAAACAGCAGAGATGAAAACACTTAAAATTGATGGTAAGATACTATGGAACAGAACTAGAAGTGCATATATAGGACGTAGATGCAAGGTGGAGAACATCAAGAACTGGGTAAGAAATAGCAAAATGGTAATAAATAATGCTTCACTTATGGTATCGTATGTTGCATTTATTTAAAACACTACTGTACACTCTTTCATAATATTACTTATCCTAATTGTATTTAGTACTTAGTTGACGTTGTGCCAATACGTAGTATAGCGACTTGCCATCTTGACGTTAATTTAGTTTTGATCCACGACATAATAATTGTTGTCCCTTTTATAATAGTCCTGCTATACAGCAGTCGTTCATTAGTGGGTCAAGTTTGTTTTATCAACCTACGACAACAATACGGTCGCGATTCACACTTCTGCTTACTTACACATTCTAATCGAGGCTTTTTTTTTATGAATGTCCTCGATTCAAATTATTAAAAACATATTTTATATAGACAAATGCGAAATGTGTTGCACTTTCCTTTTAACTTATTCTTTATATGAATTGTAATATTTTAGGGATAATACCACAAAGTACAATTGAACGATCATATAAACCGAATGACAACAAATAGAGTAGTAAAGGCGGCAAGATACGGTTCCCTAATAGGAATACGATCAGTATGAAAACCATGAAAACGATGGAACAACAACTTACTGAAGGCACATTAAAAAACGGACAGAGGCATGTCCACATAAAAAGAAGAAGAAGAGAATAAGTTTTATTTTGATTTTAAAATATTTAGCTTTAGCTAAAGACACAAATATTGCTTACTGCACTTACTAAACAATACAAGCTTACCACTACTGAAATGGCTGAAACGTATAGGTATAGAATGTATTAAATGGTATTTCCAAAAATAAAAAAAATAACATCGGAAAAATTCTACCAACGGTGGTTGCTAATACATTGATTTAAAACGGGTGTACTATCAAGTGTAAAAATAGAGAGTTTTTAAAGAGGTGTTTTATGTCGTCCTGTAGTAAAAACACATTTTGACATACATACAAGGTGGTCCTTAAGTAATTGTACAAAAAGAAACCGTAGATTCTACAGTTTAAAATATTACGATTAAAGTCAAGTTGCTTTAATAAAATGTTAATATTAAGAAAGATACAGGGTGTTAAAGTGGAAATTTAAAATTTTATTTTTCGCTATAACTTTTATGTTTGTCCACATTTATGTATAAAAATTTACAACTGGGTAGTAATAAATATCAGAAATTGTTATTTGATATATACTTTGATGTAGCTGATAGAGGGCGCCACATATGCCACATATGTGGCATATATTTGCACTTAACTTTTTTGCTCCTCAAGTTATGGGTATTTTTATTAAAAAATATTAAAGATACATTATTTTAACAAAAAAAAAAGGTATACTTTTTAATATCTTCAAAACTCAACAGTTTTCGATATAATCGCATTTTAAAAATCAACTACATAACTCTGATTTATCTCAATTAATCCAGACAACAAAAGAAAATTAAAAAAAAAAACATGAATACCTCTGAATTTTGGTATAAAATACCTTTAATAAAGTGAATAGTTAACGAATTATTAAATAAAAAAAATATATCAGCAGGATAAAATAACAGGATTTTATAAATAACAGAATAATTACATCAAACATTTTACGTTTTGTATTAAATTAAAGGCATAATCAAAACATTTTATTTACAAACCAAATAAGAAATAGTTAAACTAAATAAAGTTGAACTTTTTGTCAAAGTAAGTGTTCAATATGTCCATCATTTTCTTTAATTCATTTTTCAATACATTCCATAAAATATCGTCTCATATTAAATAGCATAATTGGTTCTAAAGAAACTGCTGCAGTATTTATTATAAGTGTTATACGTATAATAATAAGTAATTTTTTGAAATTTTTATGAACAATCCACGAACTACAACGAACAATCCAACGTTCAGGAAAGTTGTTTTTAAAACACTGTCTCACTCCGCTTTCTCTGTAATATAATGGTGTACCATCTTGTAGAAACCACACATTTCGCCTTAAGTTTGATGACAATTCTTTTAATTAATTAATAAAATCATTTTATAAAAAATGTAAATAAATCTCGACATTCAAAGTGATTTTGAATATGAATTTTGAATCATATTTTATGGACATGCGAATTACCTTGCAATTTGAATGGCTAGATTTATTTAGATTTTTATAAAATGATTTTATTGATTTATTGGAAGAATTGTCATCAAACATAAGGCTAAATATTTGGTTTATGCAAGATGGTACACCAATACATTACAGAGGAGAGGGAGTGAGAGTATTTAAAAAAATCTTTCCTGAACGTTGGATTGTTCGTGATAGTCATATTCCTTGATTATGTGGTAAGATATTAATATAATTATTTAATTAATAAAAATCCCAAAAAAAAATACCTATTGGTATAGTTATAATAAGTACTGCAGCTGTTTCTTTAGAACCAATGATGCTATTTAATATGAGACAATATTTTATGGAATGTATTAACAAATGAATTAAAGAAAATGGTGGACATATCGAACACTTACTTTGAGAAAAAGTTTATTGTTATTTAGTTTAACAATTTCTTGATTTGGTTTGTAAATAAAATGTTTTGATTATGACTTTAATTGAATACAAAACGTAAAATGTTTTATGTAAAATTCAATTATTCTTTTATTTTATCGAATTCTATTATTAATTATCATGCTGATATATTTATTTTATTTAATATTTCGTTAACTATTAACTTTATTAAAGGTATTTTATAACATAATTTAGAACTATTGACGTTTTTATCTATTTTTTTTTCATTGCCTGGAGTAATTGCGTTAAATCAGAATTATGCAGTTGATTTGTAAAATGCGATTATCTCGAAAACTGTTGAGTTTTGAGGTTATTAACAAGTATACCTTTTCTTTGTTAAATAATGTATCTTTAATATTTTTTATCAAAAATACCGGTAACTTGAAGAACAAAAAAGTAAAGTGCAAATGTATGCCACGTATGTGGTATATGTGGCGCCCTCTATTGGCTATGTCAAAGTATGCATTAAATTATAATTTCTAATATTGAAGAGTACCCAACTGTAAATTTTTATACAGAAATGTTTACAAACATGAAAGTTATAGCGAAAATAAAATTTTAAATTTCCACTTTAACATCCTGTATCTTTTTTAACATCAACATTTTATTAAAGCAAGTTGACTTTAATCGTAATATTTTAAAGTTTAGAATCTGCGGTTTCTTTTTGTACAATTACTTAAGGACCACCCTGTATACGCATACCCAGTTTTGGGTCCCTTATTTTTCTCCTTTAATAAAGTACAGGGCACCTGTATTTAAGTTAAATGCAGGCCAGGGAACTTTTATTTAAAGATATACGATATCTTGAAGTAACCTTTCAAATTACGAGTAAAAGAGAGAAAGACATGTAACTTCATATATATTTACATGGATATTTGATCAAATTAGTTGTATGATATTCTGTTTTATTTAATGAATATTGTTTTTAGTATTATTATTATTTTTAATTAGTAAATCTTTACGATTCTTGTGATATTGCCAATAACATTCATATTTTACAACTCTATTTTTTTATGTTTTACTCCTTTCAATGATGTTATTTATAAAGGTTTAATATAATATTAGGTAGGTATATAATTAGTATATAATTATTAGGATCCTATAGGCATTTATAGGTTATTTTCATATTATACAAACTATTTGTTGTTTGTTTTTATAGAAAAATAAAAGATTTCTTTAATATGTTAGCAATATCTCTCTTTTACCCATGAAGTATTTTGTCCCTTATCTAAGGATCCTGTAATAAAGACGACTGTCAGGTTTCAATAACTCTCTATTTTTGAAGGCTTGAATTTTTAGTTCCCTCTTTACATGGTTTAACTAATCTTCATTTCAGCCTCATTTTTAACACTCACAGACAACGCTTTTAATTTTAATCTTATCTTACTGTTTACATAATAATTCTAAAATAACTTTGTTTTTTTTTTTCAATTTATGTAAAACTGTCAGCTTTTTAAATATGAAAATATATTTTGTCTACGTGTAATAGCTTAAAAATTATTCTGATTATTTATACGTTAAAAATAGCAGTAATTTTGCAAAACTATTTTTGGTTATGAAAATTATTCATTTTTAGCACTTTACTAATGTAAAAAGTCTAGAATATCTTTTAAACTACTCGATAAATACATTTACATTTTAAGGGTTTATTAACGACCACAATACAAAACTTTGGGCGAAATAACAAATATTTAGGTTGATTTTTACAACAGTTAAACTTATTTTGCCGTTTTGAAGAAAAAATTAATTTTACAAATTTTTGCAATTGCTATTGTAAAGTTTTTTTACGTTTTTTTTAAAGATAAAGTTTTGCAGTTCAATACTAAGATTGTTAATGGTAAGCAAAAAATCGCCAATAAAGTATTTTTTACAATAAATTGTTATGAATTAAAAAAATCCGTCGGCAGAAAACGTACAATTTTTTCTTATATAAGCCTACAGTAACTAAAAAAAATTTACTCCTGGATTTGTTTAAGTTACGAACAGGGTCTTTTTTGCTTATTTCATACATTTAATGAACAGATAACAATCAAACCTCTAATTTTTGGCATTAGTTTTTACACAACTCCAGAAATCTTTGATATGAAACCACATACCCTGATTTGACTAGATCAAATATACTCCTCAAGGAGTACTCATTGATATCCGCTTCGGACCCATCTTTTTCGTGATTTGCTGTAACAGTAGTTGGGTGATCTGTATCGGCCACCATATTGCAGGAGGCCGTCTGCGGGAGAGCCCATACACTACGGGCTATGCCCGGACTTGGAAACACCTTGCACAGCGTACTGCCGACTGTTAAAACGACACCCCTCGTAATTTTTCCTATAACGTTTTCGATTGATTACTTTGCGGATGTTATTTGTTTGTTTTTACTTTAAAACATTTACATGCAGATAATATCTAATGAGAATACTCACTTTATCGATTTTCTAAAATATCGTGGAAACTTGCGCACTTGTCAAATCTAGAGTTCATTCTAGCGTTCTTTACTGTGTTTTTGAGAAATTTAGCGTAAATTTGAATACGATAAACGATACGTTATTATTGTTGTTATAACAAATAATATATTTTTTATGGTGAACTATATCTTAGATTTTAGGGAACTTATCAAAATTACGAAATTTGTAAATTTCTCATTCTCATGATTCCTGATCACACAGTGTTAACTATATAAGGGATCCAAGAAGATGCGTTTTTATTCTTATCTTCAGTTCGTTTGTAAATATGCTGACAAGCAAGGATCATACCTACTAAACGTAAAACTGGTAAACTATCTAACATTAATTCAGAATCATCTCAATACCCATTTACCTGGCATGTGGATAAGAAGGAAAGGACTGTTTTTAGAGTCAGCACGTTTTTTTTTTAATTGTTTTATTGTTGGATTCCAGTAAGAACCTAAGGAGGTATCCATTGAATTCTGGCAGGCAACGGTGGAAGAAATCCTTTTTAGACATCAGACATCACGGAGCAAGAAAAGAGCAAGCTCGTTTACAAAGTTTAAATAAAGTTAAGTTGTATATCAAATACGTGTTAACCCTGTAACGCATTTTTGGCTTTGGCCTGTTCCAGGATTAGTTTTCAGTCCTTTCTACCCTTTGTTTTATTTATCGCTTTTACATTCATACTGTTCTTGCTTCAGTTAGGATTTAGTACTTAAGTATTACTTGAGTCTTCTTCTTCTAAAGGTGCCTATCTTCTTGTAATGTTAACATTTACCCATCTTATTCTATTACTACTAAGTCAAACTAGGTCAGTTACGTTAGACCAATCCATCCCCTAAGATTGACCAACCAATATATTATACGTCTGCGTCCAGGGCCTTTCTTGCATAATGGGTCCAAAGAAAGCCAACATATATATATATTATATATATATATATATATATATATATATATATATATATATATATATATATATATATATATATATATATAATATAAGAAAAAAGAAGTACTTGTGACTCGTTTGGAAAAAAATATAACACTGTTTTTGATGGGTTGGAGTCAATAAAAGGGGCTATTTGTTGACTATTTTTTACTCGAGCTTTCAATTGTGATTACAATTTTTATCAAGAGCTTCTAAAAAATACAAAATGTCTTACAAAGTTGAACTAGAAATAAAAAATTTTTTGTTAACTCACCAAATAAAATTAGTTTTTTATATAAAACTACTGCTTACATAATAAATACAAAAAATATTAATAAAAAAATGCCTTATTCTAATAAATGTTTCTCTGAAAAATTTAGATGAAGTTTCTTAAGAAAAAAATTGAATTTATAAACAAAAATAGAATAGCTACAACCAGCCTAAAATGACATAAATACTAACTTAAACATTTTTATTTTTGACATATTGCCAAAAATAAAATTTTGTTTAAAAAATTCTTCTTTGTTAAGTAACAAAAAAGAAGAAGATTTATTCACCATTGATAGATGCCCGAAAAAATGTAACAAATACATGGAAAATTCAAAATATGATATTTTACTGACTGCATAAATTAAATAGAAATTATATAATTATAAATTTTGCTTAAATTTTGAATTTCTGACCTTTTGTTTAAATTATTATCACTTTAATAAGAAACCATCTTGTGCTTTGGCAGAGCATGTAATAGACAAAGACCATATTATGGATTTTGATAATATTAAAATTTTATGTAATGAAAGTAATAAATTTAAAAGAACTTTTTTGGAAATGGTTTGTATTAGCAAAAGTGATAATAATTTAAACAAAAGGTCAGAGATTCAAAATTTAAGCAAAATTTATAATTATATAATTTCTATTTAATTTATGCAGTCAGTAAAATATCACATTTTGAATTTTCCATGTATTTGTTACATTTTTTCGGGCATCTATCAATGGTGAATAAATCTTCTTCTTTTTTGTTACTTAACAAAGAAGAATTTTTTAAACAAAATTTTATTTTTGACAATATGTCAAAAATAAAAATTTTTAAGTTAGTATTTATGTCATTTTAGGCTGGTTGTAGCTATTCTATTTTTGTTTATAAATTCAATTTTTTTTCTTAAGAAACTTCATCTAAATTTTTCAGAGAAACATTTATTAGAATAAGGCATTTTTTTATTAATATTTTTTGTATTTATTATGTAAGCAGTAGTTTTATATAAAAAACTAATTTTATTTGGTGAGTTAACAAAAAATTTTTTATTTCTAGTTCAACTTTGTAAGACATTTTGTATTTTTTAGAAGCTCTTGATAAAAATTGTAATCACAATTGAAAGCTCGAGTAAAAAATAGTCAACAAATAGCCCCTTTTATTGACTCCAACCCATCAAAAACAGTGTTATATATATATATATATAATATATATATAATATATATATATATATTATATATATATATATATAAATATATATATATATAATATATATATATATATATATATATTATATATATATATATATATATATACAAATTGTACAAAAAATTAAAATTTGTCTTTACAAACATAATTTTTGAGATATTTTTTCTTAGAGTTCTTCCTACAATTGTCTTCCATGTATGGAAAGCTCTCTATATGCTGTCGAATAACATCTTTGTTCTCTTTTGTTACGCGACCTTTAGTAGCTCTTCCCCTTTTATCTTCTTCTAGTAATTAATATTTGGATCCAATTTTAAGGTTCACCTCTCTATGTGTAACTTGACGTGGCTTTAATTTACCATAATTCACAAAGAAAAACACAGCTATTACTATTTGCACTTTAACCCCTTCACTGCATGATTTTTTATTTTTTGTTACAAAAAAGTTTGCAGACTTAATTTTTATTATTTTTACAAGAAAAAGTAATAAAAAAAACTAAACAACTATTTTTTGTTATTTTTTTTATCATGTGTATAGCCATTGCACTATGGAAATTTGCACCTTAATCGTTTTTCCCATTGTACAGGCCAAAGGTAAGTTCCATCCATTCATACATCCTTTACTGGCATAACCTATGCTGGACCTTTTCTCTTCTTTATTTGTAGCGCCTCCTCAGTTATACTTGCTGAAAGTCTTCCCCATTTTGCAATGGTAAATTGCTCTACTATCCTGCATAATGCTTCTGCCAGTTGTGTTTTAAACTGAGCTTGTGTGACTTTAGGCTTCGCGCCGGTTCTATATTTAGCTGAATTCTTGTAAATAATCCAACTGTTAGCAACGGTTAGATCCAGTAAATGGTAAAATATTCTAAAATACCATTTTTACAATAATTTTATTCCATCCCTTATTGCTGTCCAACAATTCAACATCACCCATATGACGGTTGTATTATTGTACAAGATATGGATAACTTACTTCTTTTGTTGTCCTTGATTTCTTATCATATCTCTTGGCAGTAGTTTTAGGAACTTCGCCAGCGAAATTCGATGTAAACGTGACTAATTTGTTATCTTTACACACTAAGCTACTTATTTCCACACCATCGTAAGTACCAACAAACTGGACACTAGTTCCTCGTTCTTCATTTTCATAGCCTTTGCATCCAGAAGCTTAAAATTTGGAATTTTATTCTTTCATACGGTTCCTAAACTAACTGTAAATACCTTGTTTGGAGAGATATACAAGAAAATGTATAAAAGATAAATAATTGGCAAAATAAAGTCTGTGACCGATATTTCTAGCCAATCAGAGCACTACATTTGCAATTGCTCCGAGGTCAGGTTTAAAAGCACGTCTCATTTTTTAATCATTTTCTTATCCTGTATATAATTCTATACGATACGCATATCCAGAGCTATTGTATAAGACAAAAATTTAAAATCCCATTTATGTGGTTTAAACTCCCATTTATGTGGTTTGTTTGGTAGGTATTGCTAGTAGGTGGATGTAGTACCTAGCTTTGGTAGAACAAATTTGCTCATCGACGGGCAGATATTGTTCCATTGGAATTCCATTTGAAAATGCTTCATTTAGGTGATCAATTACATATTGGTCTAATTTTATAAACTCTATCGTAGTTAGGATTGTCACGGTTCAAGGCATTCTCTTTACTATTAAAATATAAAAATTGTCTAATTTTTTCATATATATTTCATATATATATATATATATATATATATATATATATAATATATATATATATATATATTGTAATTCCATTCCAATAAACTGTTTTATATCACTTCGTGTAATAGTCAGTGGTTTGTTAGAATTTTGCTGTATGGCATATAAATTTGACACCTCCATAATTTTGTCTATCTGTGAATAATAAATTAAAATTGTAACGTCTGAGTTTCATTAAGACCAGGCCGTTAAGCAACACCATGCTGCTGGAAGAAACGAGGGCAGAAATAAGTAAGTAAATGCATATTTATTATTAAAAAAAAAATAAACATAATTCAAATTATGAGTGTGAAACAAAAATAAATTTATAAACTGAGACTCAAAGATTCTGCCGGTTGTCGGTATAAAATAACTAAAGTATAAAAAAGTACTCAGCTTTATTTCATTCTGAAGTAGTTGTTCACTTCTCCAGAAAGCGTTCCGATCTTTGTGGAAGTTAGCCGCTGTCGGTGGTTGTTGGTTGGGTTAAGGGGAGTTTTTGGTCTAGAGTGCCATTAGCACTCATTTTCGTCCCCAAATGGGTTTCAAATTCTCTTATCTAATGCATCTAATGTATTCTAATGCATCAGTGGATTTATATATGATTGCTGATTGTTGCCCAAGGTATTGTGGTTGGCTGCTTTCTTGTTCGCCACGATAGTGGCCGTGTATACACGAGACACTAACCAATTTGTGTAACTATAAATTCATTAAGAATGATTGTAGTGATAAGATTAAAGAAAGCGAATAAAAATTCGTATCGGCTATATATAGCGATATATTATATATAAATATATATATATATATATATATATATATATATATATATATATATATATATTATATATATATATATATTATAT